TGATGAACTTTATTCACGTGTCGATGTATTTAGCTGACGCTAATTGGGGACACAACATAAAGATAAAATAAATAATAAATAATATGATAAATAATAGATAATAAATAATAAATAACGTGATAAATATTCTATAATAATATGTACATTAATAAAAAGCTATAGTATAATTCTATATATATTATATATACATTTACAATATGCTAAATAATCAAAACAATTCTAGGAACATGGGCACAACTTAAGAGGTACAAATTACGCACGGGGAGCAATTGTTGCCATTTATCAGTTCAGTAAGATCCTTACATCTAATATGAAACTTAAACCTAGATAGGCTGCTCGTATCTGTGTGTTTTTATCTAGTTTGTTCAATAAAAAGGGTCCAAGATATCTAAGAGAGTGTTTACCACACAATACAGAATTAAATCTAGGAATATCAAAATTTTGGTTTCTAAATCAGGAACTAGCCTATGTTTAACCTTGTACATGAGTATAACTTTGTCTTGTAATCTCCTGTTAAGAAGGCTTGGTAGTTTAGCATGATCTAATAAGTCCATGTACGTTTCTGAATGTGAGTTATAAACTATCCTTAGTGCCCGCTCTTGAATTCTTTCAACCTTTCTTGTATCCGACGCCTTATACAGAAATGCCATGTGAGATGACAATAGGTGAGATATGGCATGATAGCAGGTTTATAAAGTAATAGTTTAGTCTCCGTAGTAATTAGGTTTCCTAACCTGGCGAGAACGCCCACACTTTCACTGGCCTTTTTGCATAATTCGCTAATATGTTGGCTGAAAATTAGATTCTCGTCAAAGTTCACACCCAGCAGCTTGATATTATCTGTTGTCTTAATCGCTTGATCACCGATCTTGATGTTAATCTGTTCATTTTCATTACGTTGTTTAATCCCTATGGCGTTAAGTTTTTCTGGGTTGGACAGTAAATAGTTGTCCTAATACCATTTAAGGACAGAGTTTCCTTCCTTGATACTCGTAACTGTCAACGGATCTCTTGCCATATTTGCATTTCTTAGTAACTTGGTCATCATTGTCACAGTAATCAAGACCCCCTCCTTACAGAAGCCGTGTAACATTCTACTGAGTAACCTGGCCTTTGCAGATTGCCTCACGGGAGTTATCGTCCAGCCCATGTTTGTTGTGTGGCGACTTTTTCTTCAAAGAGCCCGGCAGCCATGTTTACATCAAGTTCTGGTGTTTGATATGTATTACACTTTACAAGTGCTTACCGTTGGTTTATAATTTGTGAACGTTACAATAATCAGTTTTGATCGCCACTATGCCTTGGACACACCTCTGGTGTATATAACTCGCGCCACTAAAACAGGTGGGTCTTTTACTTGAGTATTTCTCAGAAGAAAAGATATATGGACAATTTCACTGAGTAACTATAGTTACTAAGGGTACGATAGAGTTCTAACTTGTCCAGGATTAAGGCATTTAATAGAAGATCTGGAACGTTTTGCCCAAGATCGGGCGTTCTCATTGGTTACTTGGAGGTCACTTGACACTCAGGCCTAGAAATAGACTGTTTCCCGCCAAAAGTGCCTGAGTGGGTACCATTGGAAAATGTATGAAATCAGTGACCGCTCGCTGATGTTTACTTTCAAAAATTTGTTCACGTAGAAGGTTTTTTTTCGTGTGCTATATTTCACCAAGGGAAACAAGTTAATTATGTTTCTCTTCAATCTCAATGTTCACCTTGGTTCATCCGTGTAAGTCAAAACAATAGATAATTTTTTCATGTTCTAAAGTCTATAAAGGGTTTTATATACGATTCAAGAGACATTCATTGCCTTAAACGCACTTCTTGCCGGTAATGGTGTTAAGTTGAGGAAAAGTTCGAAAAGGTCGTCTCCTGGACAAACGTGGATCTTCAAATGCGATGAACTAAACCAATAAATCAAAAATTTGTACAAATGAATGATAGCGGGGCTCCCACAGAGCCCCATACTCATAGAATAATTATGGTCAACATCTGTTCGTTTGGTTGTCACATGATTGACCGTGCTTGCGTACGTAAGCCTTGGCGGATTGTGTTCTTAAAAGTGGCATATTATGCTAATAGCAGTGCTCGAAATTTTACCAAATTATGCCAAAATTATGCCAGAATTCCCAAATTATGCTCCTGATTTCCGAAGTTATGCTCACAAAATGACGTAGATTCTGTACATATAGCCGCGCAATAACGACACCAAATTATGATGTTTTTCAAATAAACTGTTGTTGTAAATTTAGAGTGTTTTATGGCAGTTTCTCTCGGCCCTCAGCAGTCCAAATTAGCTGCTCCCATCTCTGAACCGTTTGTAAAATGCCTTCAACGACTTAACGATCACACTTGTATATACTGACTGAACCAAAAGAATATAGTACTCTCTTGATTTAAACTAACTCAAACTATGACGAACTATAACATTGAAAGAATCAAGCCACGAAGTAAATCAACTTGTCTTGACACTTCTCAGTTCTTTCAGCACCAATAATTGCTTGACTAAAGATAGATAAGAATACACAAGTCAACATCAGCGCTTATTGTACTGCAACATTACGCTGGCCTACTTTTTGTAACTTTTGTAACTTTATTTGATTTACCACAAAATACAAATAACGATAAAACAAGACAGTTACACAAAAGCAAATGAAAGTGGCGAGCAAGCCCAAAAAGAAACCATGAGGCTTATAGACATTGGGCTCCCTTAGAGTAAAAATAAAGTTAACAGTGACGGTAAGGCCAGGATCGAAAGTAAAATACAATGAAGGTAAGTATAAATTATCTAATTACATAGACTGAGTTGACAAAATATAAAGTATGGTACATGTAACAATAAGTATAAAAATAACATCAGACATGTGAGGAAAGATAACTATTTATTACAAGATTTATAACTAATAATTCATACATATATTTTTTTTCAATTTCGTTTTGAATAAGTGGAGAGAATTAGATTCTTTAATATCATTTTCAATAGAGTTATAATAAGTAGGTCCTTGGAAACTGACAGAAAATTTACGAGGGTTTGTTCTACAAAAAGGAAGGTGAAAATCGTTCGCGTATCTAGTGGCATAGCTATGGACTTGTTTGTTTAAAGAAAAATAATTGTTGAACTTTGAAGGCAAAAGAGAATGGTTAAGAGAAAACATAAGTTTATCCAATTCTAGTTGTCTAATATCGGAAAGTTTTAGTAGCTCTAATTCTTTGAAAATAGGGTCGGAATGAGAATCGAAAGTTGATTTAGAAATAATTCTGATAACTCGCTTTTGCAAAGAGACAAGACGGCGAAGATTGGTTTTGTACGTAGATCCCCAGACAATAATAAAATAATGAAGATAAGAATAAACTAAACAATAATAAAGAGTTTTCAGACAGGGTTTAGGTAGAAACAATCTTGCTCTATTAATGACTCCTATTGATTTCGAGATTTTACGAGCTACTTGGGAAATGTGCGGTTTCCAAGGCAGATGTTTATCAAGGACGACACCGAGGAAGACCGTTTCCTTAACCTGTTCGATTCTCTGTTCATTTATGCATATTTGCATTGGAAAATGATACCTTTTCTGTCTAGGCTTAAATAACATAAAGTTTGTTTTCTTCAAGTTTAAGGAGAGTTTGTTTGCCTTAAACCAAGTGGATAATTTATTAAATTCGGAATTGAGTGAGGCTGCCAGGTAGACAGGATCTTTATGGGACATAAATAAATTAGTATCATCAGCGAATAAAATCAGCTCGACGAGCGTCGATACGTTATTTAAATCATTAATATAGAGCAAGAAAACAAGGAACCCAAAATGGATCCCTAGGGAACACCACAGCAAATAGTTTGTGGAGAGGAGCATTGACCATTAAATTGAACGAATTGCAACCTGTTGGAGAGATAGCTTCTAACCCAGTCCAGAGCCACGCCACGTATACCATAGTGTTCGAGTTTGTCAAGAAAAATATTATGATCGACGGTATCAAAGGCCTTAGAAAGATCAAGGAAAACGCCAACGGCATGTTCATTGCGATCAAGAGCAAGGGAGATTTTTTTCATATAGGTCAATCAATGTTAACGAAGTTGAATGATTTTTCCTGAAGCCAAGTTGATTATCACATAGAATTTTTAGTTTACTTTAAATAACTATAAAGACGGTTATAAACAACCTTTTCAAGAAACTTAGAAAAGCTAGGGAGAATCGAGATCGGTCTATAGTTCGTAAAGAGTGATCGATCACCGGCTTTAAAGAGTGGTATCACGCGAGCAATTTTCATTTAGTCGGGAACAATACCATGAGTGATAGATAAATTGATTATATGAGCTTAAGGATCGGCTATAATTTGAATTGACTGTTTTATGATGGAAATGGGAATTCTATCATGGCCAGCTGCCTTACCTGGTCGAAAAGCATTGGAAATTTCCGATAGCTCATTTGGAGTCACTGGATCAAAAAACACCGATTGACAAAAGTGACCAGAGAGAAAACTGCGGTGAGAGACAGACGAGTGAATTTCTTTGGCTAGATTAGGTCCGATACTAGAAAAATAACTACAGAATCTATTAGCGATGTCCACTGGATCCGTAATTTCTTGGTTGTCAACTTTAAAGATGGAATTGATTTTAAACGCTTTCTTTTTTGTCTTAATAATTTCGTTTAGAACTCTCCATGTAGCTTTGGCATTTGATTTAGAAGCATCGATTTTCTTTTCGTAATATATATACGTTTAGCAATTCTTAATTAGTGATTCAATTTGTTTTTGACCTGGAGATAGTCTGCCAGAGCGCTGTCCTGCTGATCGCTAAATGCCGCTGAGAGTAGGGAGAAAGCTGGCTCAGCTGCAGCAGAGGAAGGCTGCACTAATAGAACCTGCTTCCAGGGTCGTAACATGGTATATCCGATCCCTATTTTCTTGCCGTAATTTTGATCCGTGAACCACATTTCCCCCAAAATGTTGATCCCTGAGCCCTGATGAAAAAATTGATCTCATCCATGTTTTTACACAAAATTTCAACTCAGGGGGCTTGGGCGAGCGGGTGTTCTCATTCCACTAAAGAATTGCTCCAAACAACAACAACAATTAAACAACAACACTTTATTTCACCCCATAATATACAAGAAATAACAATAGTACAGACGATGATAGGGGCGCTGGCTGCCCGAAATAACCTAAGAGTTAAAAATGGCAGGCAGCCAGTTAAAAGAAAAGATGTTTAAATGTTTAGGTCAGGGACACAAGGACAAAGAAAACAGAGAAACACAAACAAATAGTTAAGTAAACTACCAGTATATAAAGAGACTAAAATTCATACATTGCAAAACAGTATTATTTCCATTTTAAAGTTACCCAGACAATGTACAGATGTCTAGTAATCTTTGATAAAGTGCTGTTTCATTTTCTTTTTAACCAAAAACCTAAGGTGGTGAAGGAAGAAAACAAAAGCGGTTCTTTTAAGTGGTCAAAGTCATCAAGAATCTCCCTTACTTTCTTGAACGACTTCAGAAGCATCGAAAAGGAATCTCTGCAAGGTTTCGTGAGTGCCAGATCTGGGCCCTGAGGACATCGCTTCCCTGTGCGAAAGTAAGCCGCTCGTTCTATAGTGTTCATTGTGGTCGGAAGGTCTTTCAGTGTCGCAATTCCTTCGTCCAGTGTTGTCCCTGCTCCCTTGTAGGAAAAATCTTCATCTAGCTGGAAAAGGTCTATAAAGGCCGAGAGCTCCCTGCCAAATTGCTTGTAAACACTCATACTCGACACCAAACGCAGGGCCTTGTCGTTTACCTCGCAAACGAAGGTGTTCTTTTGATATGAGGTGATGTGTGATGGAGAGTTGAAGCAAGGTGAGAAACCATCTCGAGAACCTTCTGATTCACCCAATGTTACTGTCACTTTGCTATCAACGAAATAATTAAGAGTGTTGTCAGATGCATCGAAGAATACTAGCTTTTCGGAGGTTTTCGTCATACCTAGTACTAAAGATGGTGCTTTCTCAAAGACATCAATGACTCGGACCTGGTTGAGTTGCTGTACGCATCGGATGCCCTTGTTGTTAAAGTTGTTAAAGTTTAAGATTCTACTTTTGACATTTAAGTGCTTATATGGTCAAGCTCCTAATTATCTAATTGATTTCATTACTACCAAAAAGCAATCCAAGTACTCTCTAAGGTCAAATGAGTCTATATTCCTCGAGTTACCATGCATTAAGACCCATCCAACTCTTGGCGATCGTGCATTCCAGTCAGCTGCACCTTATCTCTGGAATGCATTACCTTCGGAAATTCGCAACATGAAGACATTGGACACTTTTAAGACTGCTGTTAAAACTCATTTTTTCAATTTAGCTTTTAAATAGATTTAATTGTTGGCTTTTATAATAGTTTTTTTTTTTTTTTTTTTTTTTTTTAAATTATTATCATTATTTATTTATTTATTTTTATTTATAGTTTTTAATACTTTTTATTGTAGTTTTTAATAGTTGCTCATGCTTTAGTCACCTTTAACATAAATTTAATATAACAATATTGTAAAGCGCAACCGAATATATTCATATAGAGTTTTGCGCTATATAAATGTAAATTATTATTATTATTATTATTGTGGAGACTGACGTAAATTCTATCAAGACCCTGGTATATATATAATGGTTGTTCGCCGCCGCTAAAGGCCTAGTAATTCTCTGCTCTCATCTTGAATCGGTTGCGCGATTGATCTGTACCAAAGTCGCAAAACTTGTAAATGGATTTATTGCAAGACAATCCAAACAAAGTAGTGTTAGCAGTCATTTGCTCTCTATCACCATTTGGTTCACACGTTAATGAAATAATCTTGCCAATGTTTAAATTCTCTGCGCTTGACCAAAGCTGGAAGTCGTGAACCTTAACTCTCGCTGTCCTGATACTGCCTTCTTCATCTCCCATTTCGTCACCATTGTCCAACTCAATCTGTAGCAACGCTCTACTCTTCTTTAAAACTGGGGCGATGTCAACGACTTTAAAGCTTGTCTGTGCGCCAGAGTTCACAACGATCACGTAGTTGTCCCTGATAGCCAAGCCAGTTGGACTGCAAATTCCAACACCTGGACCTGCAGTCGGAATGATGCACACCCGGTTGTGCATATTCGCCATGTACACCATTGATTTAGCTTTATCTGTAATGATCAGGATGCTGTGTTTTGAAGAAAATGCAACTGCAGTGGGAAATTTTAAGATGCTCTTAGCTGGGTTTTGCCGCCAAAGTCTGTCCTGTTCTGGAACAAGGGTGCAAACTAATGGGTCATCTGGCAAAACATTTAACAGGTTCTCTTTAAAGAGGCCTACAGCAGTCGTCATGTTCATTTGATCTTTGTTGCGTATACAGCTGCGGGGAAGTGACTGTGCAATTGGCTTGGAAATAGCCTGGTTGGAATCCTCTCTGGCAGAACGCAGCAGCTTCAGGTTAATGAGATAGTTTCCGTGTAGAAACCAATAATTGAAAAGCCCACTCCTTACTAGCTTAAGAACGTGCGGAGGGTCTGGAACAGGAACTCTAGTGTCTTCATTTGCGATACTAGACATATGGCTTCTCTGGGAGGCTTCTTAGTCAGACACCCATAACAACTCTTGTAACCGATATCACTCCAACTTGCTAACCTGACAACGAGTGCACTTGCGTTCTATCGGCATTATACTTGTATGCCCAACTTGTTCACATTCGTCGCACACAATTCCTTCTTCTTTGCATTCTTCACAGGAAACAACACTTTCAGTCCCATTTAAAAAACAATGTTTGCATGCCTGCACAACCTTGCGGCTGTCGTTATCATAGTGCTCAATTCGTGGTGCTCCTCTTTTGTTCGCCCTGTAATAGCAGCTGACAGGAAACGAAACTTTACCGTCTATACTACTAACTCGGAACCCTTGTGCTTCGGTGACAAAATCTAAAGATTCTACAGGATGGCATTTAAAATTTTCTTTCAAACCATGTTACCGATGAAAGAAGTAGCGCTTATTACGAACAGCCTTACCTAATAACAAACCAACGTTATCCGAGTATGTTATGTTACGTTATATAAACCGCTCTTTTGTGATAACTAAAAGCAAATAATTTTATTCAATCGTTTTAATGTCCGTTTTCATAGCAAAACGTTTTAAAAATATACTGACGTTGAAGCTGAAAACCTCCGTCTAAAAACGGAAATGTAGGTAGTTCAGTTAGTTTATTTCCATCCAAGATATGGAAGTATCAAGAACATCATCGATTTAACGAGCTACATGTAAAGCTATTCAATAGAAATGTTGGAAGGTTGCGTATTGCTAGGGAACTAAAATTCACTAGCCAGCGCAATGTACGCATAATAACGAATCAAGCGTCTTTCTACACAAAAAAACTCGCATATGAGAACCTTTCTAGAAATTAAAAACCTGTTAGGCTAAAAATTTTACTTTACACGCCCATAACATAAGAACCAATTTTAGCCAGATTCTTAATTTACAGAATAAACTGGTAATGTTTATGCAAGTGAAAGCAGTTATGTAATTTCCACAGAAAAGCTTTTTTAGTTTCCTTGAAAAGTTTTATTTTCCATGATAAGGGAATAAAAATCTAATCGAAGAGGTATATATCCCTTTGAACTTTTTATAAGAACCTTTTCAGCTTAACTTGGAAAACGTTAGGATTCTAATTCGCGTTTTTACTGTATTGAAGTTTTACGTCATTCGCAACTTATCAGTTTGAAACTTACAACACTGTGTTTTATTATCCTTTATTGAAATTGAGACTTTGCGGAGGCAGAGATGGCCATATAAATAATCGACCTTGCTAAACTATCAAAGTCGATTTTAAATGAGCCGTGGCTGGCGAGTGAGGCTTTTTAGACGTGCCTTCCTTTATCTTTCTGCCGTCATCAGTGCAAGTATTATTGGTAGAGTTTTCTTTGTATTCAGGTACTACAATGTAGACCCTATTTATGTCAGCATGGTTGTCAAAGGAAGTGTAGTTGTCTAAAAACCTATCTAGGAAGTGTTTCAGATTGTGTTCACTGCAACCAGCATAACATCAACTCCATCAAAGTAATAAATTTTGATGTTTGCCTTGCAACAGAGTGCTGATGACACGTCGCGTAGAATTCCGGGTCCAATGAGGTCAACAAAAGATTTCCCGTCCGGGTAGGGGTTAGTATTTTGCCGTTTTTTTGCCGGTTTTTTGCCGTGACACTTCTGAATGAAGCATACATGAGGTAAAAACACTAAAAACGGTCAAATAGTACTGGAAACAAGTTTGAAAAATAAAAAAGATGCATGGCTGCCGAAACGCGGAGAATTTTTTTCTGGCTTTCAAAAACGTTTTCTGGATATTTTCTTCGCCGTGGCTACCCTTCACGGGTTCAGGTCAAATTCAAAGGAAAACAAAAAACCCAGTTTTTATCACAATCCTTGGTTTAAAAAACTGTGGTCATAAAGGCAGACAAGAGATGTCACGATATCAGGTGGTACCGTTCGCGATTTCTGCAAACTTTGGTTGTAATTTTTCCGCGAAAGTCTACGCAGGTGAAAATACATACAAAATGGCGATTTTTTGGTTGTTTTTTAGCGCGAAAAACCCATTGAAATCCGATAAGCTGGCGTTAATCGAAGATAAGATCTTGAATTTGATGTTTCTTGATATAGATATTCCGGTGGTACCCATTGAGATTTGGTTTCGAGTAACTCACAATCAGAGAGAAAAAACTCCGAACGTCGCTTCAGTCTTATTATTCAGCCATATTTTAAAGTCCAAATCGTGGCTTGAATTCGGCTCTAGCCTGTTAAATTCCCGGATGTGACCGGGCATTCTACGCGATGATTCCTGTTGAAACTTTTCCATGTTTAAGTTTCCGACAGCCGTTTCCAATCTCCGCTTGGAATCGGCAGTAAACTTTCCAGCTGGATTGGGTGGCCATTCGAACACTTTAAAGGGAACCTCCACTCTTACTACAGAATAAGTTTAAATCGAATAAAATTATGTTGATAAACAAATTTGTTCGAAATTTGTCCTTAAAAAAAGTGTTTATATCAGGAAAAGTGAATTTTAAAATCGCTTATTTTCACTTTCAAATTTCGCGGGCGCCGCCATCTTGAATGATTGTGCCGTGTTACGGTTGCTCTATTGTTCTGACACAAAGAGCTTTTGTTTAATAACAATAGGGCAACCATAACACGTCACAATTATTCAAGATAGCGACGCCCGCAAAATTTGAAAACAAAAATAGGCGAATCTAAAAGTTATTTCTTTCGGATACAAACGCTTTCTTTAAAAATATTTTAGATTGACTTGACTGTAACAGTTATTTCCTGTGATTTAAAGTTATCTTTTTGTTGAAGTGGAGGTTCCCTTTAAATGTTAGTATTGTTGGCTTAGTCACTGAGACAAAACCGAAATTGACTTTGTCGGTAAAACTAGTAGACGTCAATTTCCCATAAAGATTACTTTCCCTGACTTTTTCCTACACATTATCAGAGCCCTCAACTACTTCTATGGAAATTCACTTCGTGACTTTAGTACCCAAATCCCTCCGTGGTATTCCCACTATCTTTTTTGCTTCGTTTTCAATAACGCTCTCTAAATTGGACATAGTTAAGCTAAATAGGAAAAGAACAAAGGACAAAAGGGTTAGACGAAGCGATAATGGCCTCACTTTACTTATTGTTATGGACGGCATTTGAATCATATCTGAAAAGTCTGAACTTTTACCTTCTTTGCCCCTTGTCGGAATGTGACAAGAATCCAGATATAGACGCTTGGACTTGCGAATTTTGCAACCTCCTAAACGAGGAAACAACAAAGAAAGGGACAACTGAAAGCTTTTTTATACTGCAAATAACATACCGTGTGCGCCATTCTTCAGTGAAGCTGGTAGAAGGTGTAGGTGGGGCTGAGCGTCACCTATCACAAAAATGTAATATCGTCACAGAAAAGCACAAACGTTTGTGCCAAGAAACATGATTGACGTAAGTCGCTACAAAGAAACATTTTTATCCGGTCCCTTAATGTGAGTCAAGGTTGAAAAATGATGTATATTACACAACATCATCTAAACTGTAATGTAAGCAATTGAATACCTTTGAAAGTTCGAGTACCATACCGTGTACGACGTTCTTCAATGACGCTCGTAGAAGGTGACCGGGAGGTTGATTGCGGCCTATTACATAAATATAACATCGTGTAAAGAAAGGTATAGGTGCATGACCAGCTTCTTACTTTTGCTCCTACTGGCAGGTCTTGAGCTAAATAAACACGCTTAGACGTCTAAGACCCCGATTCCCATTTCCCGTTTCAGATACAGTTGGTTATTGTTAACAGTTGGCGATTGTAAGATAAAACTATCATGATCTGAGCTTCTCCTTATGAATTACAACACTCACAGTTTAGCTGTCTTACGTGTAAAGGAGGTCTCAAAACCACACCTGTCCGCAGCCAAGCAGTCAACAAGACAACCCTCTTACATTCTCAGTTTCAACTTTTTGGTGGTAAGTAGGTACAAAGAACCTAAGATTCCGTCCGAGCTACTACACACTAAACTCGGTTAGATTTACTTTGTGTGGCACAACGACTGTCCAGCTACACAAGTCGGTATATATTTACTTTGTGGCACAACGGCCGCCGAGCTAAACAACCCGGTTTCATTGATGCATGCAACAGGAGTCGCACACATTTTCCAAAGACAGCGACGAACCATGCTGAAAATATGAAGGCTTAATCCAAAGTAAAAGTTTACTAAGGTACGTTTCACGAATACAAATCGCAAAGATGAACGCTAAGGACACACGAACCACCACGTGAGTTAGCGCATCAAAGTGAGACAAAACGTAAGCAATCGCCTCAAAGCAAGGCGAATGTGTGTCGACGACAAATGAAATCTCGAAAAAACCTCCCTTATAAATTGAACATGGAACCCAATGATGCACAGAACACCCAACACAAATTAGGGGCTGCGTTCTCGTACGTCGAACGCAATCAGTATGCCACCGGCTGTCTCCACGATTTAAGCCAGCAGGGCTCACTGTAATTTAAAGGAGTTTAAAACTTTCACGATGGGATGAGATGGGTAAAAAGTTTAGTTTCAGATTCGAGTGTTAATGCATCCTCGGAGAGGGTGTTAATTTTGTTTACTTATTTTTTTAACGGTTTAGCTAAAAGCCCACGCGTGCTTCGATCGTCTTGAATATGGGCCGAATTTATACTAGAGACGAATTATCCACCTAAACGGATTACCCGTCTCAGACGGATAAGTCGTTTCTAGTATAAATTCGGTGCTAAGACGAATTATGAAGCAAAATTCGTCTGAGGCTGATTCGTCTGTTAGCGATAATTCGTCTGTCTCTAAATTTATATCTAGATGGAACGTAGACGGTTTTTTGACGAAGTTTCCACATGAGAGGGACTGGTTTCTCTATTTTGGCAATGTTTATTGTTTCCCGCGGTCGTTTTCCCACTTAAAATATCTAGACAAATAATGGAGCAAAATTCTTCTTCGGATTTATACTTAGACGAATTACCCGTCTGACGGATAATCCGTATAGACGGACAACTCGTCTCTAGTATAAATTCGGCCATTGGCGGGGTGCAATTTGTACTGCAAAATTGTGAAATACTGCATTCTGTCCGGGGTCTGTATGATAAAAACAGTGCCTCATAGTACTGTTTCACCTCAGATGTGAAGTATAAATGGTATAAAAGGTTGGTTTATAAGCACCCAGAAGTTTGTTGGCAAGATTTTGTAAAGTAAACTTGTCGAACGCTAAAAATTCGGCCTGATTTTTTTTCCTGGCCTAATTAATCTACGGTGATCAAGATCCATTATGGCTCTCAAATGTGATTGAAGATGATTACCAGTTTTTATGCGTACATATGAGGCTATCAACTCGAAGTAAGATTTGGTTCACTCTTGGGCTGTTTGCAAATTATTTTTCTC